TATCATAGGATGACAGAATAAGCGATTTGTAGCGACTAACCTTGCTGGTTACGGTTGGTATGTCCCCCACTTAAAAATTGTGTCGTCATCCGCTGAATGACGTAGCGGTTAAGTTTCGCTAAAACGCGGTTGGTATTCAGTGGTTCAAATATTTGTTTATGTCGACATAACCTAACAAAATAATGGATAAGTTATGTTTGTTGTTATTTAACGCAGATGAATTATTTTTTGGTGATTTTATGTTTAACTTGTTACTTCTAAATGAAAACAAGACTAAAATAATTTGCAATATTCTTAAAAGAGAAATTCACTTTAGAATGCCTGTGCCGGACACTTGTTGGCTAGAAAGCTATCATGAAATTGTCTTTTTTCAACTATTTAGATTGAAAAAAAGTACATTTGATAAACTGCTGAATATTATATTAAAAAATGATACAAACATGCTGGTAAAGAAGAAATATTACGTTTATAACTTTACCATTTAATAGAATATTAGCAGTTTGCATATCACAAATTGCTTTGTAATCCTCCCCTTCATAATTTAAGGTTATTTCTATAAATTCCTTATCCATTTTTAAAAATTGAAATAAACACAACAACAATAAACATAACCTCTTCTTTCGTAACCAACTCACGTCTTGAACAGGGTTACGACCGGTAACGGAAATGACGAAAATTTATGACGTCATTACGCCCTCCCCTACCATACCGCTTCCTCGCAGAAATGAAATGGTCAGATAACCGATCATACCCGGTAAGACCTAGTTACTCGCTACAAATCGCTTAATGACATATACTTATAAGTATATGCAGAATGAACACTCGTGGCGACATCTCTGTTTTTAATATCTAACAAATTTTAGACCGATCCAACCTCACTTTCTTCCAATTAAATTATTTTTCTGTTATTTTTTTGGAAACGTAGAAAAAGTATAGTCTGAAACACGTTTGGAATTGCATATTCCGCTCTCGTGAAACCGTCTCTTCACTCGAGCGGAATATGCTGTATTCCAAACTTGTTACAGAATATACTAGTAATAGCTATTACGCAATCATTAGGTTTTCGTAATTAAAATAGCTGAAGAACTCTAAAAGCATCTGTCACGAAAGTATAACGTAAATGATTTCAAGCTACTTTACCCCCTGTGCAAAGAAAACAAGTTTTATAAAACATATATGCAATGCAATAAAATATCCACCCACATTAAAGGCCATGGATTAACCAATCAAAATACTTGAGTCACGTGCCTGAAATGGTAGGTAATGAAATGGTGATATTAAACTCACCGTGCTGCACGGTCCGTGCACCTAACGATTTTAAGTAATTTTTATATAGAAAAGGTAACGCGTTTGTTTCAATTGCGTTACAATTTCAACACGTCAAAATATTTTAATTTGTCATTAAAACTTTACTTTATAGTCACTATCACGTTGAGAATACGTACAAAATTATTGAAATTTCCGTCACCAGTTACTCAATATTTCGTATCGACCTTTGTAATGATTTCGTTTCGATTTTAAAATCGGTAATTACCACGTTAAGTTTTTTTACGAAAACGAAGCTTAAAGTAAGAGCGGTTTGGCCACTATTTCGTCTACGAATTAGTTATGAAATCAAACACACAATCACCTCACGTTAAGTGACGAGCTTCACAGTATCAGTAATGCTTTCGTGACGGTGTGCTACCTGGCAATTACGGCTTCATTTTTTTTAGGCGCAGGAGTTAGCCACGCCCCTGTTCTCTTCTTAGAGTGAACGGAATCTACCTACCTAGTAAAATATTTTTCGAGTAGAATGCTTTAATAATTCGCTCTTTTCACATATCAATTCTACACCACAAACTTTACATCTACAAAAAAGTATAATGAAACCGAGGGGTCACCCACAGCTGGGAATCCCTGGACATTTTAGAGGGGGAATACCATAGGAATACGATGGAAATACATAGGAATACAATAAAATATAATGGGAATACATGGGAATCCCTGGACGTTTTCCCTTTGCGAAGGGAACCACCCATGGGTGGTTGACCCCTCGAATGAAACTATATATAGTTTATATTATAATGAATAAATGTACAGTCCGTTCAGGCTAAGTTGAGCGCTTTGGTGGGGGATCATGTGACCGTTGATTAAATATCGGTTTGTTCGTACAAAGCGGCTACCGAAATACATGTATTTAATTGTGCCTAAACATAGAGATGATGGACGGGGTGACATTCCTTAGACCGCTCAACTTAGCCTGAATGGACAGTACCTATACTGTACTATAAGTATATACATATATTTATCGTTCATTATAAATATATATATAGGTACTTATAATGAAGTATAATTTAATTACAATTAAATTATACTTCATTAATGAACAATTAGTGTACGCATGCGCTACCGCTCTGGGTGGTTATACAAAAAAAAAATCAAGATACATACACCTGCTATAAATACATGGAGCTCCATGTATAAATAGTAGAAAGTGATACCGCTACCTCTACCGCTGCCTCATATATGCGCAACCTATATCCTTTTTCTATGTGCGCAACAAGCGCCTCCCGAGCAACGTTGCCATATTTTCTTTTTTAATAATTATTTTAATTGTCAGTTTTGACATCTGTCAACAATAGAAAGAATATTGATAACGGTAAAGATCTATTTCTAAGCTTTTAAGTATTTTTTGAGTTTTTTCATCTGTATTGCTTTCCCTTGAAGTTACAGTAAGTATATACAATAAGGCCCAGTTGTATAACAGTTGGTTAACAGCTGATTAGCTGATTAACTCTTAAATTTAATTTAATTTAATGTTTAGCGGTGCTCCGTGACAGACAAAGTGTACTACACTTAGATAATAACTAAGTGTAGTACACAGGGCCGTAGCGAGGCTGGTGCAGGCGGTGCGGTGCACCAGGGCCCCCAAAACTAAAAAGTTTTACTAAAAAATCGTAATTTTCGATATCCTATCCAATCCTAAAGTCTTGCACCGGGGCCCCTGAGTACGTCGCTACGGCCCTGGTAGTACACTTTGTCAGTAACGGAGCACCGCTAAACATTAAATTAAATTAAATTCAAGAGTTAATCAGCTAATCAGCTGTTAACCAACTGTTATACAACTGGGCCTAAATCAGTTGCTTTTATAATGTTTTTTTGGAGATTGACATACCTACCTATTAAATAATTAATTTGTGTGTAATTTATTACGATTAGTTTTTTTTTTGCAAAAACCAATACTACTTAATAATATTGGGACATTTGCTTTAATAGGGACTATTGTTGTTTGAAAGTAATTTCCTGCGTAGTACGCAGTGCGTACTGATGTCCCTGGTGGAAGAAGTTATTGAAATTTTTACTATTGTTGAAAAATGTAATGCATTAATGGACATCAAAATTTTTTTAATACATGTATGTTTTTTTTAGGGCCAAAACCGATGCAGGAGGGAAGTTTTATACCTTCTTTCACTTCTGAACCCATTCAAAATACAGATGCACTGTTTGTATATTCTTTAATTTATTTTATTGTTAAAATTAGTGTATTATAACCATTTACTTTTTAAAATAAATAAATCATTGCAACTATTTTATTTTATTGGTCAAATTTAAATAAATTAATATTATAATTATTAATATATACAAAATAGATAAAGCCGGCCCTGTATTATAAAAGTAAGTAAGTAATAAAATATTTGGAGTACGGCCCTAATTGACCATATGCAAGAAATGGTGTCGATGTTGCCAATGGTAAAAAAATAAAATTCCCTATTGGGAACATTCAATTATATTACGTTGGCTACACTGAAATTTTGAATTTCCCGCACAAACTGACATACATTCTAGGAGTTCCCAGAGATAAAGAAGGTAGTTCCAATGTTGTATAATAAATTAAGGTGCGAATTTCAAATGTGGGAATTATTATTATTTATTATTATTAAAAAAAAAGATGGAAATTAATTTAGTTTGTGCGGGAAATTCAAATTTTCAATGTAGCCAACGTAATATAATTGAATGTTCCCAATAGGAAATTTTATTTTTTTACCATTGGCAACATCGACCGCATTCCTTGCAGGCGTTTATGACGTTTGTGTTTCTTAAGTTTAACACAGTGGTCGCCCTTCTTATATTCTTTTTCTATGCCTCTACCGTTACCTTTAAAACTATAAATCCAGCTTAAAGTTAAATTAGGTAATAATAATCTTGAAGTCATGTTCTTTTCATTTTTAGGGTGGCTTATGTGTGCGGAAGGAGAACTCACAAATTTTATCGACGGTAAAATAACATGTATTGTTTTGTATAGGATTGTTTGAATAAATTTTATTTTGGGAAAAAGTTTTAAAAATAGTGTCATTTTGGGGAAAAATAAAAGTTTATCTGGGGAAATTTCGAAATCGCCATCTGGCAACCCTGTAACCAGGTTGGCCGCACTGAAAGTCTTAAGACTCTCTTGATTGAGACCCTTGATCATATTTAAATTTAAATTAAAACATAATAATCTGGCTAAATCCCGGAACTTCCGGAAGGGAAAGGCCATTACACTATAGAAGAAGAAGAAGTTAAGACTTGATTGCAACGCGTTGCCTTATTTCTTTTCGGTGCAAAAATAATTCGGGGCTAAATAATTCGGTGTTAAGGCTTAACTTAAGCCGGATTTATAGTTCTAAAAAGTAGGAGTAGCAGTAGCAGTAAGCCAGTGTTGCCAATATAATAATATAAATGCTGCAATGTGAATGTTTTAACTTTTCTTGCTGGGGCCGAGGATGGCGCAGTGGGTCAATCTGCGCCACGGTACCGGGTTCGATTCCCTGTCACAGCCTTGTTTTTCGAGCATAAAAATATATAATAAATCGGAAATAGTCGAAAAGACTAAAAGCTAATAAACCTTAAAAAAAATTCTTGCTGCTACTCCTACTCCAGCCAATCACATTGCAGACATTTATGAAGACATTTTATTTTATTATTATATTGGTAACACTGGCTTACTGATACTGCTACTCTTACTTTTTAGAACTATAAATCCGGCTGGATGCTCCTATAACCAGGAGTAAGGTAATACTATATAGCAGTAACCTACATATACAAAGATTTTAGAATGTAATTTTTAAAAATTAGAAATTTGAGAAAATGAGAAACAGAGACAGGGGAGAACTGTCACTTGTAACCTAACCTTGAACTTGGATTTTGTAACTTGCCGTTATGTCCCAAATTAAGTGATTGTGATAAGATTACCAAATAAAATTTCTAAATTTCTATTAAATTTCACCAATAATAATAGTTATTTTATGTGACAACTCAATATATTTTTATATACATTTTTCTGTAATAAATGGGATGGATTTAAACTAAAAACTCAGAAAAACAACATATTTTAAGGCAATTTGGATAAATATAGCTAGCATTCAAATTATGGTAAATTTTGCTAATATTTGAAACATTGGAAAGGAAAATAAATTATTGTAAATATGTTACGCTTGCAAGCAAAGAAATTTATACAATATTCAGCTATATTTGGTGCAGTAGCTGGTACAGCAATAAGTTTAAGAGGAAACCAATATGATATTGATTCAATTGGTATTGTACGCCTAACCAGGGCTGCAGTAACTGTTTTCAAAATAGGATTTGTCTACAAAAAAGATCTTCTTTCAAAAGGCTTTGATAAAAGTTCAGATGAATATAAAGAAACAAAATCAAGGTGTCATAAGTTAGGAGCAGAAAAATTGTTGGACTTATGTTGTTCAAATAAAGGAGTCTATATTAAAGTAGGACAACACATTGCAGCACTCGATTTTTTAATTCCCAGTGAATATGTACAAACACTAAAAATTCTGCATTCAGATGCTCCTACTAATAAATTAGAAGATGTGTATAAAGTTATTAGAGAGGATTTAAAAAAGGATGTAAGTTTCATCATACAATACAATTTTTATGATCTGTGAAATAAGTTATAATCATTAATAATATAATTTTAATTTAATACTCAAGACTTTTTGGCTTTTTAAAGATTTATTTATTCTTAAGAGTTAATAAAGATATTACCTCGGATATTAAAATTATTATTATTATTAAGATATTAATAGTTATTTATGTATTAAGGGCATAATAAGGTTTTTATGGTCCGAGGCGCTATTTCGAGCCCGAGCGCGTCAGCGCGAGGGCTAGAAAAGCGTCGTAGGACCATAAAAACCAGTTATGCCAGCAATGCATACAAAACTTTATGCACGATTAATATATTATTATTTTTAATATATTATTGTTTTTAAAGACGTTTACGTCAAAGAATTTTTGTTATAATTGTCATATTATAATGTCAACTGACATCAGTCAGTTTTAAAGTTTAAAGATAAATGAAATTGAGGAAGCAGCTGAAAAGGCGAAAAATTGCGGCCTGCTGCAGGTAAAATCAAAATCTTTATACGAAAAAACTTACTTCGAATATATCAAATGGTGTAACATTGTTGTTTTTAATTTTTGACGTTTCATTATAGCCCGCTGGGCCATAATAACGCCCGCGGGCTATAAAAAGACGTTTACGTCAAAGAATTTTTGTTATAATTGTCATATTATAATGTCATCGTGCATAAACATTGTTTAAAACAAAGTGAAATGTGATACTCTGTAGATAACAGTTTAAGTATAAAGAATATGCATGTATATAACACCTCCTACAATTGCTTTGTAGTTGAAAAGGACCAAAGTAAGAGCAGGAACATTTCTTTTTTTCTAGACACAATTTTTAGTGTGAAATAGCCTCAGAATCAAAATTTGTCTTTATTTTATGCAGTTTGGATAAATCCACAATCCACACATGTGGTAGTATAATTGATTGTCAATAACCAGTCTATAAACAATATTTTTCATTTTGATAGAGCAGTTAAAAGAAATTTCAATTAAGTTTATTCCATTTACAAATAGGTATGTATTCTTTATCTTAACATGATTCCTTTACTTGTAGTGAATTTGTAGAGCTTAATTTATCGATTGATTTGTCCATTGGTATAATTTCTGTGTATTTACAGTTTTTAGGTGTGTTCTGTGGGTGTGCCTAATATTTCCTGGAGGCAAAGGTATATCTTGCTACATTTTTCACAATTTTATAATGAATGCAATTTATTCATTTATTGAATAGTGGTAATGTACAAAGAAGCTTAAGCTTAATAAATAATAAATAAATAAAATAATTATTTTTAATATATGGGTATGTTTAAGAGTAATTCTGGTAAATGTTAATTGTTTGAGGAAAAATAAACTTATTGGGATTCATCAAATGAAGGATTAATAATAATAAAAAATCTTTATTGGGGTTCCCTAACTGTGGTCTTTCTTTCCAGTTTATACAATATCATTTTATAATTATAGTGTTTGTTGATTAAACAAAATTTTAAAGTTTATACAAAAAACGTTAAATCTGAATATTAGTTAATAAATAAAATATATTGGAAATCTCTGTGATTTATCTCCCATAGCATATGGGAGTGATTTATCTCCCACTAGTATTTGTTTTTGGAAGGCAGGTCCTGGTCTCTACTTTTCATTAAATTATTTAATAATGTTGTGTGGCTTTTTTGCAAATTGTACTGCCAGCTCCTTGAACCCATGATATAAGGAAACATGGTATGCTCCCACAATTCACACATTGTGGTATGCTCCTATTGAAACCAAATTTCGTCCGCCACGCGCCTGTACGTCACATTCGTCAATCGAAACTAGATATTTGAATTGCTGATGATATTATTTTGTTTAATTAGTAATTATTAGTATGTTGTTATTATTATTTTATTAGCAGAGATAATTGTGTGTATTATTATTATATATAAATGTAAGATATTTAAATTTATTATTTGTGTTTTTATAATTATTTATGTGGGATTAATTTACAATGCCAAACTGTGCTGTGGCTATGTGTAAAAATGATAATAAAAGGTAACAGCTTACATTATAAAGTTATACATACATAAATTAAATCTTTTTTTTTTAATTTTTTTTTGGAGAATATGTGCTTCAAAAACCAGATTTTGAAAAAATATACAGAGTGTTCTAAAGAAAACTTGTACCCCCAAACATTTTAACGGGTCAATGTGGACAACATTCCTTGGAAACGTCAATTTTTATTTCTAGGGGGACGAATTTTAATGTACGATTCACGCCCCCACCCGCACCCCTACGCGCTCCACCCCGCCCGTCGCCAAAATCATAAATTGTTGAGTGACATGTCTTTTAATTCTTAATAAGATTCTGTTTTAAAAATATGTCAGTTAGTTTTCGAAAAATTGCTATTTGAATTTTCAAATTAAGAGAAAAACAAAAAAATTGTAAATCAACGAATGTGTGGGTTTCATCTAGCAAATGTGGATTACTATTGCTATAACTGTTATTAATCACCTTTTATTAATATTAATAAAAAAAAATTCATTCCCTAGTTGTATACCATTTCGACACCTGTCATTTTGACAGGATATTCAGGCAGCTGTCATTTTGACAGCCTTCATTTTTCTCCCGCTGTCATTCAGGCATTTGTCATTTAACACCTGTCATTTTGACAGTTGTCAGTTTGATCACCCTGTGTTTATAATAATAATAATAAACATCTTTATTGGTTTCCCAACAGGCTATCGACCGTGGCCTTTCTGCCCCTGTGTTTATAAATTTTAATTCAATTATTTTTAAAATAATAACCATAACAAAAAACAATAATTATTTTATTTGCGCTGCATATATATTATAAAAAATACATTGGCACAATGACAAAATACAAATCCGTAGAAATACTACCTCAAACCAATTTTCTCTCACAATCAGTTTTAATAAATCGGCCGTCATAATTGTAATATAATAAAACGCGAACGCGCTCCTCAAAATTACATTGGAACAAGTGGATATCTTTGACGAACGTGACGTCATAAGGAGCGAGAGAGACAGCGCTACCATGCGCTATGGCATAACTAGTTTCCTTGTATCATGCTTGAACCGTTCTAAAATGGGGGTGATTGTGTTGTTTCACAGTTGATTTGATGTATTGTGTTCTGCCACTTCTAGGTTACTAACGGTATTATTAAATTAAATTAAGATATACTAGAAAAGCATGCATGTTCAACATGTTCAATAATGAGCCTGCATATCATTTGGTAGATCTTGACCGCTGTTTCGAGTAGTATCCCATTATTTTTATATGTAAGGCATCTAAAATGTTCTTGGTTTTTATTAGATTTGCATGTGTATTAATTAATTTAGTTTGTTGTCCACTTGTATTCCAAGCTATTTGCAAACCTTTAATGGCTGAATTTGATGGTTACAAATTTGGATGGTTGGGGAAGTTATACTGATTTTGGGATTGCATTTTATAAGTTTTGTTTTGTTGGGATTTGGTTTTATCCTCCACTTGGAAAAACACTAGATTGTATTGTGGCAGAGATTTTGTAAATGGGACACAGTGAGCTTTAATTTTTTTTGGTGTTAAATTAATGCTTTGTAGTCTAGACTAGCTACTAATTGTAATATATATGTTTTGGGATTTAGCTGCTGAGGGTAAATGTCATTCATAAGTGTAAAGGTTGTATAGTATTGGGAATAATAGAGAGCATTAGAGAACGCCTGGTTGCATGGAAAATGATTTTGATAGTTTCTGGTTGTCTTTACCTAGACTGAAGCCCGCTGCACAACAGCCCGGTAACTGGAACGGGAACCTAAACGGTAAAGGTCGGAGAGATTTAGCGAATCATATCTAACAACAGTGGGTTTTTAGTCTCTGCCACCTTTAATGTTAAGATTCCCGTTACCGTTACCGGGCTATTGTGCAGCAGGCTTTAGTCTATTTTTTTAAAGTCATTTATAATGAGAATTAAGTATTTTGGACAATTTAGGGTGTTTAGTTTGTATAATAGACCGGCATGGTTTGCTTATGTCTATGAAAAGTGCAGCTGATGTGTATCCTTTTAGGCTGTTGGTTTAAACATATGTTTATGTTTCAATATTGAAAGGATTAAATTTTATTTTTTTTAGTTTTTGTAAATTATATATGAATATATTTAATGTTTTCTGAATTTGTTTTTGGATTTTTACTTAAATCAAGGTTAAATTGGATGGCAAGATGGTAAAACATAAATAGGCTATTGATTTAGGCCCTCATGCCTGTTACAACATATTTTGTTTTAAATTTCTAGAAAAATTTGGGCGCCAGTGATGATTTTTTCCGAAATGGGCGTAATTAGAGTTTTTTTATGGTGGTCGTTGGAAGGGTTTTGGAGAGGGTTTTTGGATGCCTTATTTAAGTAAAAATTCAAGACAGTTCCTTTCTGAAACTTCTATGTTGGCACGCCCACTAATTTCCAATTGAATTCAATTGGGCATTCCCAGTGTGAGATTCTAAAAAGGAATCTGCTAATTGATTATTCTCAATACTTTAAATATCGCAAGAGGGCTCTCGTGTAGCTGCGCAAATCCAACGTACGCAGTCCTTGTTCGAATAGTTGAGACGCCATCATAAAGAAACAAACAATTCTTTGGACGCTATTTAATGTCGTTTTTTTATTAGTCGGTTTCTTTTATAATCTATGGGTTTCTGTGCTTAGTGGTAGTTGTGTAATTATACCTTAAAAAAATGTTTATATGTGTAAGGTTTAGGGGCGATGGCGTGAGAATGGTGGTTACAGCGGACAGTAATTTTATTTTATTTTTTTTACTTTTTTTGTGTTAGTAAGTTATATGTTACATATAATATGTATCAATACATATCTTACTAACACAAAAAAATAATAAAGAAATAAAGTTACTCAGTTAAATTATTTTTTTGTTTCTTCTGTGAAACATGAATTCTGGTTTTTACCCGGTTATTCTTTTGGGATCTTAATTATTTTTGAATGAAAATTCAACTGTTATTTTCAATCCAAATTTAAAAAAATAAATTGGTTCAAATTGGTTTGAATGGGTTTGGCGCTATGAATTACCAATTCATTCCAGGTGCATTTCTATTGGATTTAGCCAATAGAGACAAGGTATGGATTGGTATATTCCAATTTAAGCCGCTGGTTCATGGACCAATAGGAATGCAACTGAAATAAATTGGTGATTCATAGCGCCAAAACACATTTTAAACTAATTCAAACCAATTACTTATTTTTTATTGGATTCTATCGGTCATTTACAATAGGGAACATAATTCAGGTATTAATATTGCTACAGATGTATGCCAATAGTAGTATGTCATTCAGTACGGTTTTATACAGGTCTTGCAACAGTTTCGACATGGGCCTCTAAACGTGCCTACTAATTGGTTAACAAATAAGACAACATGATTGTAAAATCGTGCAAATCTTGCAAGCAACCTTTCACAAAGTCCTCGACCTCTCATTTCACATGCAAGTAAAACAAAATACATTACATTTTCGAAAATTTAAACAAAACCAACGTGCACGCTAGGGGTGTCAGTCCCGGGAACCCTAAATCCCGGGATCCTGTAAAAAACCGATCCGAAAATCCTGGGATAAAAATTCTTCGTAATAAGTTATATAGAATAAAATAAACTTTTTTTTCAAGCGTAAGCCAATTTTCATATTATAACACTCCCATATAGAAAGATTTAATTTTTGTACGCAGTTGAAATGTCAAATTATTATACACAAAAATAAAAATACATTAACTGCCTCGCTTAGATCTGCAGCCTCAACTAAAGTTTCGGCAGCGAACACTGAGCTCGGATATAAATAAGCGCTTTCTCCGCCTGTTAGATAATCTACTATTTAATGAAATTATGTAATTGTTAATTATTTTATTATTTAACTACCCCATACATTCAAAATGCAAAATATGGTTCCAAAACTCTTACGTTTGGCTACGACCGATTCTAAAGACAAAATGAAAAGGCCGGTCGCAAAAATTAAACATGAATGAGAAAAACTTTTTTGATAGAATAGAAAATAGCGATGACGAGTAGGTTTACATCACGAAGATTATACGAGCAGAGGAAAAAATCTTCTGTAGTTTTAAAGCCTCAATTGGAAATCATTGATAAAAGAAATGGAATTATTTGTTAATGGGGGTAAATGTGGGTACAATGTGCATACGAATTCTTAAAAACCATTCCTCCAACTAGTCTAAAGTCCGAAAGGTTCGTTTATTTTAAATTACTTTTTTGTAAAACTGTTTATATGTTCGGTGGTTTGTTTGTTCCTTTATTTTACATTGGTTTTAAAATTAAAGATTTATATTTCTTCGGGACTGGTCCCGAAAGTCCCGGAATTAGAAAATTGGCTCGGGATTGACAACCCTTCTGCACGCGATGTAATTAAAAAATATAGTTTATGTTACTTCTTCTTTCTTGGTGGCCAAAATATTATACGTATAATACGTCTCATATGTTCATGTTCATGTTCATTATTCTACTGCTATAGTGCTTGCAAACCAAGAAAATTTGTAATTTGATGGTTCTATAAGATGTCCCAAAAATAGTGTGTAATACTCCACACGTAGTTTCTAAAGACAACAATAGGACGAAATATTCTTATAAACATGGGTCGGCCTCTTAGAGAGCTGCAGCCTTTTAAAGATGGTTATTTACAATTATGTTTAAAACAGTTTATAGTTATTTACGATATAAGTGGGATAAGAGCTTTATTAACGTACGCATGCGAAATTTGCCCAACGAGTGCGTAGCACGAGTTGGGCAATCGCAAAAGTACGTTAATAAAGCGTTATCACACGTATATTGTACAAATTTTTATCTACGCGTCTAAATGAAAAAATAAACGGTAATTATTTTTGTCTAAGACTTAATTTAGGGTTATTTTGACATTTTGATTTTTTTATTTGATTGGTTAAAAACAGAGAAAAACGCGTGCGTTAATGAACTTCTTATCTCACTCAAAATGAGTGGGATAAGAAGTTCTTATCTCACTGGCGTATATAAATAAAATAATAAAATTTGGTATGCTTACTTAACTTTTTATGATAAATTAAAAAATAAAAATTTAATTTTTTTATTTATGAGTGTATTAAACATGATATTTTTAGCCCCAAATTTTTTGTGTACAATTTTTTTGCAAGATGGCTGCAGAATATAAAAATTTAAGTTTTCTACGTAAAAAATGAACTCCTGTTAAACATCGATAAAATTCACCATTTTCAAATAAAAATAAAATAAAATAAAAAAAACTGTTATTTTTCAATTTAATATATTTAACAAGTAATATAAATAAAAATACATTATCAACGTGATCTGTTGATCTATAATGTTGGGGGCAAATTGGTTTTGAATTTACTATCTTTGCTTTAAACTTTTATTGAAGTTGTTAGTTGTAATATATACTTCATTCATTTTGAAAACTTGTTAAAGTATTTTGTCATGGAAAAATTGTGATATATGTATTTAAAAAGTAAAAATAATGTAAATGGTTACTTGTTTTAAATAGCAGAGGCTAAATAAATATATTATTATTATTATTATTTTAAGGGGAGCTCTAACACTTTATTTTTAGAATTATCTTTCGTGTGTTTTTAAGAAAGGTAGCAATTAATTATCCAACCTAATTTTCGTTATTTCTTTTGGAGTATATATAACAGCGTTTAATTTGTAGAAAAAAAAAATTGGTAAAATTGAATAGTAAATTCTATTAACAAATTTGTATAAGAAATGGTCTTTGTTAATACTTAAATGGGTTTATTTTAAAACATAATAGAATAAACATTTGGTCATTTTTTAGCCAGAGGAATTATTTGAAACCTTTGATCCAAAACCACTAGGAACTGCCTCATTAGCTCAAGTGCACAGAGCAACTTTAAAAGATGGAACAGTTGTTGCCGTAAAAGTTCAACATCCTTATGTGCAGGGAAATTCATTGATAGACATGAAAACCATGGAAACTTTGGTGAAAATAATGAGCTGGGTGTTTCCTGAGTTTAAATTTCAATGGTTGGTGGATGAATCAAAAAAAAATATTCCACAAGAATTAAATTTTATGCAGGAGGGTAAAAATGCAGAAGAAGTTACTAAATTGTTTAAAGATGATGATTGGCTTAAGGTACCTTCTATAAGGTAAGATTTACAATGTTCAGTTTTTCTTTATACATCCATCGGCGTATAATATTTTTTTTAATATTACTTTATTCGTCCAAAAAAAAACTAGCTACTGAGAAAAACCTCTAATATATTAGGCCAATGCGTCTGATTGGTCTTAGTTTTAAATAAACAATTTTTATTGGATGATGGCACACGAAACCCTGCATATTTAATATTTTTATTTAAGGTGGGATTTAACAACATCCAGAGTGTTAACAATGGACTTTGTTGAGGGGGGCCAAGTAAATGACTTGGGTTATATAGAGAAAAATAAAATAGATCCATATGAGGTTTCTGACAAATTAGGAAAATTATATTCTAGAATGATTTTTATAAACGGATTTGTCCATAGTGACCCACATCCTGGAAATATCTTGGTTAAGAAGAATGATAATGGGCAATGCGATATTGTACTTTTGGATCATGGATTATACGCTGTAAGTAAGCAAAGGCGTTAAGAATTATATTGGGTGGTCCATAAAGATACGCGTTTTAAATTCATCATTGCTTGTAAACGGAGGGTTATGCGCAGTGGCGTAACTATTACAACCTTTTTTTGTGTATGTTTAGTTATGGTATAAATGCATATAATATATTATATACATATTGTGACATATTATGTACCTGTAAGATTCCCTAGTAGCAATTTTGTCAAAGACTTGGGCCAGAATGGGTCAAGATACTTTGTACAGATTTTTTATCAAGAATGGGACAAGAATTGTTCCAGATTCTTGGCCAAGATTATTGGGCAAGACTTGAGCCAGACTGTGGCCAGAATTTTGACAAGAATTTGACCAGAAATCTATAGAGTAGAGGTTCTCATTCTACAGTAGCTTCAGAGCCGTACCGAGGCACACTTTTTGGGGGGGGGCGGAGACGATAAAAAACCAACTTATTTTTTTACAGTATGTCCATGGATAGAGGGCCCAAGAGGACAAATGGACTAAAATTTTCATTTTTCGACCAAAAGTCATTCCTTATAAAAAGTTCTGCTTGTTTAAAAAAGTCCATTGCCATACTTTAAATTTGAAAATATTATACAGGGGGGTCAAAAAACAAGAAAACATGAAATACTCTCAGGAGTAAACTACCTTTATTTTTCGTTTTGGAGCAAAATGACAAATAAAAAAAAGACCATTTGTAAAATTTTAACTTGGTATTCGGAAAAATAAATCTTGGAATATTATTCCAAATTTTATTTTTCTAAGCCATATTTACAAAAATGACACAATCAACAATAATTAAGTAACGTCAAATTGACAATTTGCATTCTTTCATTGTTCATTTTGGTAATTAATGTAAATTTACACAAAATGTCCGGGTTAAGAACCCTATACATAGGTAAAGGATACGTGAAATGAGGTACAAAAGTATAAATTAGAAATTAAATTTTAAAACTTTATAAGAAAAAGAAAATTTGGAATACTGAGTTGAAATTTTACAATTAGTCTTTGGATAGGATATCCTAATAATATTATTTGTCATTTTGCTCCAAAACGAAAAATAAAGGTAGTTTATTCCTGAGAGTATTTCATGTTTTCTTGTTTTTCGACCCCCCGTATAAAATTTTCAAAAAGTATAGTAATAGACTTTTAAAAACAAGCAGAACTTTTTATGAAGAATGACTTTTGGTCCATTTGTCCTCTTGGGCCCTCTAGTATAAAAAGTATACGCTATAAATATAAAAAATGGAACCTACTAGGTAGGTAAATCAAAAAAAATCAAAATAAAATCCAAATTTAAGCTACTAGGTTAAACCTAAAAAATACAATTTTATTTACGGTAACAATTATAGGAGGTTACAATAGGAATAGGTTAAAAATTATAATATTATAAATTACAATTTCTAATATGTATGGTTTAAAAATTATATTTTATTTATTGTGATGAGTAGGTTGGTAGGGTAGGTAAACCCTACCAACCTACCCAAATAGATTTTGCCAACCGTGTTTGGATTTGGAACCAACTGCCTAGACTTTGGGGGGGCGACTCTTCCCCCTACACCCCCTTAGGTCCGGCCCTGAGTAGCATCATTCACAATACTCTACTCTATTAAATGAAATAGTCAAAATTCTACTATTTGAATTAGTACCAGCCTTTTTTACTAATAAAGTAGTCGTTTTCACTTTAAAATGGTTATATTTTACTACTTAAATAGTTAAAGTTTGACTAATTTAAGATAAGTCACCATCTTTGACTGTTTCCAATAGTTAAAAGTACCTAATTTCTTTAATCGTTTGTTTAATATTATGAACAATATTTATAGACAAATAAAATTATTTTTTATAAAAGTGACTGATAGTGATTGGTTATGACATCCGCTTGACAAGCTTGACAAGCGACAGATCGGAGTTCAAACCCCGGCTGGGTCATAACTTTTTTAAATTTAATATACTAATATACTAATTTGACTATTTCATTCAATAGAATTTGACTAATTATTAGTGACTGTTTTTTCGCTTTGACAATTAGTCATATATGACTTATAATTATTTATTTTAGACTACTTAATTCATTTTAAGAGAGTATACTAGTCGAGAAGTAAGTTTTCTGTAGGAAATGAATCGAGTTTTTCCGTTTGTCTGAAAATACGAACAAGAGCTTATTGGATTCGTCTTCTAGCAAAGAAAAAAATTGATTTTTTCAAAAATAAAAATAAATTGTTATTTCTAAAAATTAAAAAAAAGTGTGTGTCAGCTCTGACGCGTAACTAGAGTTTACTCTTTATGAACATGAACGATTATAAAATACATATTTTTTGTACTTGTAAAAAAGTTAGGGCTATTTTTGTAACTTTGCCCCCCCAAATGTAACGCTTATGATTCAATTTTAACAGTTTTGATCTAAGATCTAGATTCAGCATGTCAAAATTATCAAAGTACCAAAAATTTATATCTTCCTGTTCAAACCTCTAGGAATAGTTTAAAAATATGATTCTCTTAGGCTCCTATTCAGGGGGACGTAGCTCCGTTAGGTGGCATTTTTTGATATATGTTTATGAAACAAACAAGTGTTATTTTTCTATAAAGAATGCACTCTTTAAGTTTGGCCCCTAATTTCGGGACACCCTGTATAGGCAAGAATTTTCTAGTAGGCTTCAGGACAAAAGTAACGTTTGGGTTATTTATAATAATTATATTTTTTATAATTTTATAAAAAAAAATTGAAATATTAACTCTGAAAAAAATTGGGGATGTTTTTGTAACTTTGCCCCCCCAAATGTTACGCCTATGATGAAATTTTAAAAGTTTTGATCTTAGATCTAGATTCAGCATGTCAAAATTACCAAAGTACCAAAAATTTATTTCTTCATGAACGTTTTAATGAAAATATGAGAGTAATTTATTTATAAATGCATTTTTCTCGAAAATGGTGCATCTGAGCTCTCTAAATAAAGAGTACCTATTTTTCGTAAAAAACTATAAATTTTCATAATTTCATAAACAAAAATTAAAACATTAACCTAGAAAAAAGTTAGGGCTATTTTTGTAACTTTGCCCCCCCAAATGTAACGCCTATGATTCAATTTTAACAGTTTTGATCTAAGATCTAGATTCAGCATGTCAATATTACCAAAGTACCAAAAATTTATATCTTCCTGTTCAAACCTCTAGGAATAGTTTTAAAAAAATGATCCTCTTAGGCTCCTATTCAGGGGGCCGTAGCTCCGTTAGGGGGCATTTTTTGATACATGTTTATTAAACAAACGTTATTTTTCTATAAAGAATGCTCTTTTAAGTTTGGCCCCCCAATTTCGGGACACCCTGTATAGGCAAGAATTTTGTCGTATACGACAAAATTCTTGGCCAAGAATCTGGTCGAATTCTGGTCACAGACTTGTCGCAAGTCTGGCACCAGTCTGGATAAAGAATTTTGATCAAGAGTCTTGGTCAAGAATTGTCCAATTCTTTACAAAGTGCTTTTCCAAGTATCTTGACAAAGAATCTTGTCCAATTCCATTGCTACTAGGGTTGGTGTCTTATCCATATGGTTACTCGAATTTTCCTTTTTATAGAATTTTGGTGTTGGCAAAATTTACAACTGTATCACAGTTATCACTGATAACTTTATGCTATTATAGTGAATTCTTGCATTTTTCTTTAATAATAAAAGTTTACAAATCTCTAATTCCTTGATTAAACGTGTAGCAATGATTTCTACATCCTGAATATAGTTTTTTTTAATAACTGCTTCTTGACAATTGTCACTTGTTCTTAAGTAATGTTTTAATCGAATTTGTCTGTCAACTTTTAAGGTCACTAATTATTTAGTGCTTAATAAGAATGTCTTTAAATACTGCTAAAAAGGATATGGTTCTCATAATCCATTAGGTTTGATCTGGGTATTCAATTTTTATTAAAATAATGCACAAGTTGCTAAAACAATTATTTGTTTTTTTTACAACCCATGTGTCTACTAGGTTTGCCAAATTCTGTAAAAAACGGGACATTTTGTGTCAATTACAGAAATGACCCAATTAAGAATAATTAAGTAACGTCGAAAAATAAATACAGGAGGAGTAACTTGCTAGGGGGCACGCTAAAAAACGTACCCTTAAACCCTTTCTACAATGAACGATTCATTTATAAACTATATATCGTGACTAAATTCAAATATTTGGCGATCGGTGGCGCTAAATTCAAATATTATTGCATTATCTCCTTTAAATTTCTAGGTTAGAATATCTTGAAAATGATTGATAAGTCATAGTTGACTTAATCGTAAACAGTAACTTTAAATTAAGAAAAATGTATCGTTAGCCTCCAACAAGAAACAAATTTGGCTGGCCGCTTGATTCGGTCTAGCAAGTTGCTAGTAGCAACTGGTATATCACGGTGCTGGTCTGAGAGGTGATTTTTGGACTTTCTGTGAAACCTAATTTTTTTTTATATTCTTGTTAATTAGGTCATAACTAAAATTTTAAGAGCAAAATAAAAAAAATTTGACGGTTAATTTTGTTTTAATTGGATGTTTATTAAAAATATGTATGCACACTTTCAATTCTCCAATTAAAACTTCGATTTTATTTAAATATTATCATAACTTTTTAAATCAGATTAAAGATTAGTTAATTTCCTAAAAAAAGGTCTATACATTTTTTATATCTTTTACTGTTTTGTTCTTATTTACGTTTAAAGTTTTAATTTAAGGTTAAATGTATAGTATACATTTATTAAACAATAATTCTAAGGGTGCCACATTTTATTTAGGGCCGATTTATTCATTTTTGATTTATTTGACGAATAATTTCTTTGGATACTAGATATTGCCAAGACATGAAAGTTATCGGCCCGATAAACTTTACTAAAGATGAATAAACCGGTCCTTAGTTAAATTTCATGAATTTCTTCGTAACTTTTACTACAATTTTTCATTTTTGTTTATAAAAAACACTTTAAAAAACTAAACAAAAATTATAGAATACGTATACTGAAAA